TTTGATCAACTGATTCATTTTAATATGTTACTGCTGGCTTGTTAGGTCCTTCAGCCCTCATGTGAGGGTAGTAGAGGGGTCCTGATCCCATTTCACGCACAAATTTTAGAAAAATTTGTGTCACATATACTTTAAACAGCATTTCACACGTCAGGGTAGACTTCAAATGTCTCCTCTTGTCTACAAGGATTCAGAGAAATGTTGAGGTTTTCTCTGAATGAAATACAAAAATTCACGGTTTATGTAATTTTCATTATGGCTCATGCTAGTTCATTAATTCGTGAATTGCCTTGCCTTTTTGTAAAATGCATATATCACATATTAATTTTGGCCTTAATCATGGGTCACATACAAACCCTTTGCCACCCTCATATATGCTTATGGATTTGGAATGTGCAATCCACCTCAAAATGCTGAGCCTTTTATACAGTGGAAGCTCACGCAACCTTTTAACTTCCAGAGACTGATTTTTCCCTCCAGCTGCTCCGACCATATTTCCCACTGATTTGTTCAGAAAATGTTCTCTGATTATTTGGCTATCCTCATCATCTGTTTTGTCTAATGTATTGATATTGTAAGTAGCTCATTATCACTACTGGAAATGAAAGGGTTGTCAGTATCTCTTGAGGGCAGAAGGGCGGTTAGTTGTGCAGGTACATTTCCAATTAGGAAATGTCTAATATGAGTCCTTTGATTTGAAATGTGTGGCCACAATTTTGGATTGGAGTGTGATGTAAAGAAGAGAGATGTATTTTTGCCCATATTTACCAAAATAAAACATGGTGGCTGGCCAGATTAAAATATTACATGATTAACATATTACACCAACTTGTGCTCCCCAAAAAGATGCTTGCATTCTAGGCCTTTGGTGGTAGCTTTCCAGAATCATTCTATGTGTTCTGATAGATTACACAGAGAAGAACTGAAATCACACTTCTGATCTTATTTAACAGAGGGAATTAAATGATTGTTGTTGGTACTCATACGATTTTTATATATAAGTATTCCCGTTCTCAACTGGTAAATTTCATTAACTGGTTCTGGCTTTGTTTTAAAAAAAGGAAAAAAACCAGCATTTTGTAAGCTACTAGGTGTGGGAGCCAAGGTTGCAGATTATGTTTGCCTAATGTCATTGGACAAACACGATGCTGTTCCAGTGGACACACGTGTGGCAGATAACTGCAAAACACTACATGCCCCAACTTACAAGGACCAAGTCTCTTACTACTAAGGTTTATAGGCAAATTGTTTAGTAGACTAGAGTGTGAATTGTTTGGGGTGAGGAATTCATGAATTTTGTTTGTATTGACTAAGTGGGATGGCTGTAATGTCATTGGACAAACACGATGCTGTTCCAGTGGACACACGTGTGGCAGATAACTGCAAAACACTACATGCCCCAACTTACAAGAACCAAGTCTCTTACTACTAAGGTTTATAGGCAAATTGTTTAGTAGACAAGAGTGTGAATTGTTTGGGGTGAGGAATTCATGAATTTTGTTTGTATTGACTAAGTGGGATGGCTGTAATGTCATTGGACAAACACGATGCTGTTCCAGTGGACACACGTGTGGCAGATAACTGCAAAACACTACATGCCCCAACTTACAAGAACCAAGTCTCTTACTAATAAGGTTTATAGGCAAATTGTTTAGTAGACTAGAGTGTGAATTGTTTGGGGTGAGGAATTCATGAATTTTGTTTGTATTGACTAAGTGGGATGGCTGTAATGTCATTGGACAAACACGATGCTGTTCCAGTGGACACACGTGTGGCAGATAACTGCAAAACACTACATGCCCCAACTTACAAGAACCAAGTCTCTTACTACTAAGGTTTATTGGCAAATTGTTTAGTAGACTAGAGTGTGAATTGTTTGGGGTGAGGAATTCATGAATTTTGTTTGTATTGACTAAGTCGGATAGCTGTAATGTCATTGGACAAACACGATGCTGTTCCAGTGGACACACGTGTGGCAGATAACTGCAAAACACTACATGCCCCAACTTATAAGGACCAAGTCTCTTACTAATAAGGTTTATAGGCAAATTGTTTAGTAGACTAGAGTGTGAATTGTTTGGGGTGAGGAATTCATGAATTTTGTTTGTATTGACTAAGTGGGATGGCTGTAATGTCATTGGACAAACACGATGCTGTTCCAGTGGACACACATGTGGCAGATAACTGCAGAACACTACATGCCCCAACTTACAAGGACCAAGTCTCTTACTACTAAGGTTTATAGGCAAATTGTTTAGTAGACTAGAGTGTGAATTGTTTGGGGTGAGGAATTCATGAATTTTGTTTGTATTGACTCAGTGGGATGGCTGTATGGGAAAATATTTGATTCCAGGAGTCTTCTGATCCAAAACATATTTAAAAGTTTCTGCAGTTGCAAGTAATGATTCATGGTGAGCATGTAAATCAGTTTATGCCACCTTTTTCCTTCCAATGATCATTACAGAGACCTGTTTGGGAAGTATGCTGAATGGGCACAATAGGTAATAGTTTCTGCATCCCTTTTTCTAAAAATTACAAACAACAATACTGAACAATGGTATAAGTCAAATCTATTCTTTAGGGAATCAAGGTACCTTTGTTAAAAATTAACAAATATCCACTGCAACAATTTCACATTAAAAGCACAGAACACTATTGCACACCTTTGATGCTCTGTATTTGTATGACATTCAACACCAATGAAATGCTCTATTTTTATTCTCTTCAAATAAGAAAAATTTCATGTTACAGACTAGCTTTCATTAGTGTAGAGAGTCAAGCAAATAATAGTTTTAATTGGAAACTAAAAAATTATTTTCTAAATCTCAACATTGAAAAAACCAAAAAATTCCGAACATAAGCCCAAAACTCCCTCTCATGGAGAAGCTAAATTTTGCATTACAAAATGAGTTTCTCTCTGCATAACTAGAACAGTTTAAACACCCTAAAAAAGACTGAAACAGCTAGCCCCCAACAATCCATGGACTTGGATTGTGAAGATTTGTTCCTCGACGGGCACATAGTCTGAGTTTTATGAAGGGAGAGCTGCTAAGCTACGTTACCTTACTGTAATTTTTCAATAAGATTTTTTCTAATAATAAATAAAATATTTATATGGTGGTGATTTCATTTTAATATGATCAAGAATACTATCTAATAATAGGAAACTTTAAAAAGATAAAAATAAGGACTGAATAAACCTAAATAAAGCTAAAATCAATCTTTCTATGGTAACAATGCTAAAACAACATGCCAAGATCTAACAATGTGAAGAATTTTAAGAAAGTAAGCCCAAAAAGGTAAATGTTGCAATAAACATTAAAACTAAAAAAAAACATGACCGCACATAGCACTGGACATAGTTCTCTACAATAACTCAAATTCTAGTGAATTGAAATTAAAACTACAGTAGGCTGACAAAAAGAAGTAAAAATCTTAAAGGCTTAAACTTGAACCTTGCTTAATTCATTAAACACTTAAACAAATAATTAACATCCATTCCAGTCTGAAAGATGTATACTAATACCAATACACATTGCTACCTTACTAAAAGATCTCAATGCTATTTCTACAGGCTTTTTTCTCTTTCTTTCTTTCCTTCTTTCTTTCTTTTTTTTCTGTTCTTTCTTAACATAAGTGGTATACTCTTTTTGAAAAATCTACAATCCCTAATAATATATCAGTTTTAAAAAATGCATTTACATAGTAAGAAAAAAATTGATCTCTACCTCAGTTTAAAATTCTCGTTATTTCTGTATATTGTAAACACCCTACAAAGTAAGATAGACTATAATTTATATGAAAAATACTTCACTGAATGCCACCTGGTATTAACTGCATGTGCACGACAGTGATAACAAGCACAGTGCTATTCAGTTACAAAAGGTTACCTTTATAGCCCTTGAGATGTTCTCACAGGGTGTGTTTTTTGCTAGGATAATAATAAATTACTTGACTTTCTAGGAGATTTTCCTGCCGCCTTCAACTATGATGAGCTTCATAATTTGTCATTTACAAATGTCCAAAAAAAAAAAAGAAAAAAAAACCCAAACAAACATACACAAAAAGACTTGAAAACCTAAAGCTTAGAAGAAGGCCCTCTACGCACCTCATTATGTAAGGCACCATGAACTATGTAAAAGGCCCTCTACGCACCTCATTATGTAAGGCACTGTGAACTATGTTCTGTAAAAGGCCCTCTACGCACCTCATTATGTAAGGCACCGTGAACTATGTAAAAGGCCCTCTACGCACCTCATTATGTAAGGCACTGTGAACTATGTTCTGTAAAAGGCCACCAGAGGCTGGTAAAATAACCCCCCCCTCCCTTCCCTGTGCAAATTCAATCCACAAACCCTGTAATGCTCCATGTAATTTCCATGTAAAATAAACAAACTCAATTAGTTTAGGTGTCTTTCAATTTTACATTTTGAACAATAAATGCATGGAAGGAAGGTCGTTCTGTGACCACGTAACATTTTTAATATGTAAATCGAACAATTATTGTAGAGGGATTCAATTTCACAACTGACTTGCATTGGGCAGTGTATACACCCATAACCGAAAAAAAACAATTAAACACGTGTCAATCTAAAACCTTAACTGACTTTAAAAGCCCCTTTCTTGAAACACTACAAAGTGTCACATTAACCTCATACAGAGAAAGAGGATTTGTTGTTGAGGCAGAGGCACATTGGTTTACAATCAGTTAATCAACAATGTATGCAATTTAGCGGAAGTCACACCTGTTGCATACAACAAACGCATACAGCAAACATTTTAAAGTACATCTAAGACAACACATTTGTGGTTCTCTTTGGACAGTAATACGCCTTTTCACCTAAAGTTGTGCGAATTTGATAATTTGGCAAACAAACATAAGCTTCCTGTGATGACCTAAGACATCTGTATTAGTGTAATCAGGTTACAGAAAATGCAAAATGTTCAAAGTAATTAGACAGCTTTGTATTGCCAGATACGACTCGCCACCCGCGCCGATATCAAGCATCTTCCTCATTTTCATCATCCTCATCCTCGGACCTGTGGGGGGACTGAGATCCAATGTAAGAAGGACCTACCCTATCAAAAACATTCTTTAGCTTCTTGTGGTCTTGAACGATTCTAATAACTTTATAGCCAATCACACCACTGACTTTGAGTGCACGTGAGAAAGACTTATCACTACCTCTTATCCCCCAGTGAGGGCTATTACGTTTGTCCTTGTCGTACACTTGGAATTCTTCGTCAAGGAAGATCATCTCATCTGTGACAAAGTTTCTTCCCTTTAGGGCACAAGCATTGTTTAACACAATCTGGTAACGCTGGTCGCTGGGCATATAATCTGCGTCTGGATATTTACTCACGTAGTCAGAGCGTCTGCTTGATACATGAGGAAGGGACACGCCAGCAATGCGCTTGTCAGCACCTCCAAACAGACGATTTCTGCACTCATCTTCAAAACGCTGTTCAGAAGCTCTTAATTCTTTTTCCCTTTCAGCATCTCCACCACAGTCTTCACTGATGTTTTGGAATGGAAGATGCAAAAGGGCGGGGTTCTTTTGGACCTGAGCAAAAGACATCTGATCAACTAGAAGTTCATTAGCACGGTCTTGTGTCTCTTCAGCCCAAGATGGAATTATACTCCTGACATCTTTAACCAGCTTTCTTTTATCCTTTTGCGACAGTTGATTCACATTCTTTTCCAGGCATGTTTGAAAAACGCGCTGTCCAAACAAGAGGCCCCTGGTAATTGAGCACTTATGCCACCTACGATCATTTGCATCAAACTGATACATGAACTGGATGTCATCATCTATGGTCCAGTACAGAGAAAACTTTAAACATTCTGCTAGGCTTTTAATAATAGCTCTGGTTACACCAATTCCTCGTCCGCTCTGGGGCAAAACAATGTACATCAAGTTGATATTGCTTGCTGATGGGACCTGGAGGCCAGCTATTGTGGTTTTAAAAGTTTCTAAATGTTGTGGCTCAACGACAAGGAATATGTTTAACCCACTGTCTTGATTTCCTTCTGCATCCATCCCTTCCACTTCCCCCTCTTCTGAAGTGTCATTTTTACTCCAAGGATCTTCTTCTAGAAAGTAATTTCCTTGCATGTCTGTAGTTGGACCTGGTCGGATTGTCGGGATGAATATTGGCGCTATTTGGTTTGAGGGATCTTTAAATTCCTCACGAATGGTATGAAGCTTGTTGGACATTTCAGCAGAGACAAGTACTTCAAGACAGTTTTCTTCTTGAGCATTCTTCCTCAAGTGAATCTCGTTTCCAGGCAATGATAGGTCTTCACTGATTTTGCTGGTGACCAGCGACTTTCGATGGGCAAAGAGGCGTTTTCGTGCCAGACCAAAAAGTTTCTGTACTTCTAGTTCACCCTGGTTTAGGACTAAATTTGGGTCAAGATTGACATCAAAGTGATCCTCGTTGCTGAGAACATTCAGCAAAGCCTTTGCCCACAATCGCTGTTCTTCTTCGCTCTGTGATTGGCGAAGTCTCAAATCACCATGATTAAATTTCAACCTCGTCTCTAGTAGGTAAATGATGTCAGCTTTCTTCGGAAGCCGTTTTCCTTTGGTTGGAGCATTAAGTAGATCTGTCATTTCCTTGATGATTTCTTCATGTCCACACTGCAGTTCGCTTTGGGTGTTTTCACGGGTAGCTACCATTTTCTCTGGCAGAGAAAGATCTTTTTTAACATCTAAGCTGGGGTGAGGGTTTATTTCCCGTATAGAGTCGTTACAAAATTCAATTATCTTTGGTAACTTTTCATTCAGTGATTTCAAACAATGAGCCTTGAAAGCTTCACTGACAAATCTGACAGCAAGCCCTTCTCTGACAACCTCCTTCAGCTGCTCCATAAGGTAAAAATGTGATTTCTTGTATTGTTTGTCACGAGTACCTGCCTTGAAAGCATCTAAAGTATGCATCAGCAGAAGGTAAAGCAATTCATGATATTGGTCTTGCTTTTGTTCTTTACTGGCACTTGACCAACGCTTCGTTGTAGCTTTGCCAAATGGGTTTCGATTCTTCCTCTTGCCCAAAACATGCAGCAGGTATGCTGGTGCAGTATCGACACAATACTGCTGGACTTTATCCTTGCACAGCATCTCTACCAACTCTAGGAGACCTGCCTCCACGTCTTGCAAAGTGGAACTATTGGCAATCAGTTGAGAAGTGAAGTTTTCCAATGATGCCTTCAAAGTATCTTGAAGAAACACCTGCGTTTTATTCCAAACCAAAAAATTGTTGTATAGGAAGTGGTGCAAGCTCTTAATATCCAACTCCAGTGGAAGAGGTGTTTCGTCTATAAAGGAAGTGATCAGCTCAATCGCTTCATCTATGTCACCAAGCATTATAAAGGGCGTTTCTCCAACTTTAACAGTAATTGGTTCCTGTTTTTTCTTCTGTCTGTGGCGGGTGTCACCCGTTCGCTGTTTGAGCTTTTTCGCAACAAAATGGACTTTTTTCAAAAATGGGTGAATAATTTCTTTCATTCTCACGGTCTGAACATGGTCATCAATTAATTCTTTTAAGGATTTTACAAAGCCAGGATTACCTGAGTGGAAATAAAGGGCGTCACTCTCGTTGGACAATTTCTCCAAAAGGACTTCAGCACTCAGCTGAGGAAGGTTCTCCCTTACCTTTTTGTAGACTCCATTGTCTCCTGTGCTATTCTTGAAAAAGCTCTCCCATCCTTTCTTGAGGTTTTCTTTTTTTTCATCGTGCAAAAGATCGAAGTTGGGTGAGGGTGTGTGTGGTGGTTCTCTGTCATTAACTACATGAATGAGTTTGGGCCGCGATGTAAACTCCCAGTTGTTACGCCTGCTAAATATGTCTGCGATATCTTGCGACGAAACTTGTCTCCCCGACTGACTACTACTAAAAAACAAAATTGTATCAGCCTTGTTCAGCTCCACATTGATTGTATCGTCTCCAATTGGATCACCGCGTCCAGGTAAATCTACGAATTGCACATCAAGCGCAACGCCTAGCTGCGGATGGCCCGAGCTTGTCCTGTCGCTCTCGTGAACATTACAGTTCAAATCACGGAACACTGGAAATGGTCCCTGAATTTCTATGCAAGTCGCATCTGGCAAGCTTTTATCTTTCTCAAACTTTGAATGGATTTCCTCAAACTTGGATTCGAGCTCATCCCTTACACGGGCTAAAGTGCCTCTACCCAGTTCCTCTTTGGGAAACCAAACAGAGGGACTTTCGTTCCTTTCATCTTTGTTACTTTTGTGTAACAACACCTGAACATTGTTACCATGTTTTACATAAATTGGAATTGGTGTTTGGCTACCTCCAGATGCTGAAGGAAGGGGCCCATTTTTCACCTTATGTTCATCAGGTAAACCCCAATTTAAAAGAAAGTTGAGGAAAAAACTTTTACCAGCCCCAAGTGGCCCAAACACATCAACTAAAACAGTAATCTTACTTTCTGTTACAAGTTTGCTATGAAAATTGTCAATATTTTCTCGTATCTTCTTCTTGATTCCAGCATGTTTATTCTGCTTCTGATCATCGTACAGTAAGTACCAAGCTCCTTCCATGACATCAGAACAAAGGCTAATATTTTCCCACAAACCTGACTTTTGGGGGATACCTTTGAAGCGGTCAAACTGCTTTTTCGCATAGGCTTCAATGTCTGCAATAACAGAAAAAGGGGTACATCAAACTATGACTCTAGAACCCATCCATCACTTGTTTGGTTTGTTGGCAAAATTGACAAGGCCTCCTGCAAGGAGTTAAGCAAAATTACTTCACATCACAAACAGGTTAGTTGAGCAAAAGAAAACTATTCAGGATTTGCTCCCTAACTGAAAATGGGGCAGACATGACTGGAAATTTAGCATTTGTGTGCAAACAAACCACCTCAAAGTCAAACCTATTCATGGTAAAACATTATAAATGGCATAATTGGGATAACTATTTAAGTAGGAGAAAAGGAACTAGACTAAACAGTGATTTAAACACGTCAATTTTATGATCAAGTTGGGTGTGACAAAAGTTAGGATAAACGAAGCATTATGGTGGAAGATGGAACTGCATCTACATTGAATGATTGGGGCAAAGAAGATTGGACATTTCAAGAAGAAACCCTTGTGCTAACCTCTGGTACTACAGCAGGTTTATTTTGTCATGGCCTTACTAACCTCCCATACAGTCATTTTTGGGTGAGATTCACCACTTTGGGAGCAGGAGTGGGGTGAGGTGGGGTGGGGTGGGGTGCAGGGGTGAAATACAACTCCCCTAAAATAACTGCATGGGACCTCTATTATTGCAATCACAGGGGTTTCATAAGGTTTCGAGTAGGAGGGCATTTACTTTTGCAGATCTGTTTGGATTTAACTTCCTTGTCCCAAAAATTACCTTGATGTGCTCATGGCAGGCAGACAAAATTACATTAACAGCCAGCAAATTTGCTAGGTGCCTGGCTCTTAATGAAACCCCTGAATTATATTATTAAATGTAAATATTAATTACGTTTCTTTTCCTGTAATGTATTTTTTCTTGCTGTTTGACTAGTAACACTAAAGCAATAATCTATTGTTAAAATTGATGTTATTTTATTCATACCAAGTGGTTAATTTAGCTTCCCAGCTTGCACTCTATCTTTACTTCTTACTGAATAGTTCTCTTTATAAACCCTTCAAGATTGTAAATTAATTCTTCTTCTTCAAAATCAGCTCAATAAAGATTTGATTTGATTTGATTTGACTCATTACATATAGGAAGAGGAACTGACAGTAGGCTCACCTGCCGTCTTCTTCATGTATGCTGCCATACTCTGGGCTTCTTCAGGCGTCATATCATCAAAACTGGAGAGCTGGAACAAAAAATGTGGCCTCTTCACCAAGTGACCAAGCTCTTTGAAATCAGTTGCCAAGCCAACTGACACAACAACAATTTTGATGTTTTCAGAGGAGAGTTTCTCATATGCTGACACAAGGGGAGCAGGGTTATCTTCATTGCATTCAGTGCCTGATACCTGCTTACCAGCTGTCACTAGAAAGACAAGCTGATGAAGCCCATTCTGATCATGCTTGGACCTCCCTCTGAAATAATCAGCAACCTTAAGTAGGGCCTGATCCATTCTTCTTCTTCCACTTTCAATCCATGCTTCAGGTCTCACTTTTGTTAATTCAACAGAAGAGTTGTCTTTGCCAGAATCCAATGTTACTACTTTGGCACTATGCCCATACACAACAGTGACTATGGAATCCTCTGAGGGAACATCCCAAGACTGTGCCAATTGTTTGACAAAGTTTACTTCCTTTTGGAAGTTTTCATCTGACACACTTGAGGAATAATCTAAGGCAAAGACAATTTCAGTGTCAAATTCTCCATCTGAAGCTGAAAAAAAACCACACATATTAGTTTTTTACACTCTTTACACACTTACACTTTTTTATTCATTCATGTTTCCATTTAATTTACAAAAAGTATACAGACAATGGCCCACTTAACTCTTGTGAAGATCAATAAGATCAATCAAATCAATTAAATCTTAACAAATTTTTGGTGACTGGTTGAGGCTTTATTTCTGCTACTTCTTGAGTAGCATGCACAACATTACTGTTATGATCTTTCGTATCTTCAGTGATAGTATTATAAGTAATGGGAAGTCCTCTCTTTGACATCTCACACCAGAATCAAGTCTTGTGCACCTTACAGAATACAAAATTTTGCAATAATAACAGGACATAGAGCTAACCTTCACTTAATGAGCTTTCAAAGGCCTCTGAAACTCTCCGCTTTGGTTGTGGCACTGTACTATCAGCACCTATAACCAGACCATGTAAAACAAGGAAAGTTAAAGTTGGTGACAGGTGTCCCAACAAGGCTGGTACTAAACTCCAGATTCCACAGAATGAAGTGATTGCATGACTGTAGAAGCACTACTAATTATAAATGAAAGGTGAAATATCATGCAATAAAGAAATTAAGAGCTTTAGGTATTGCAATTGAATTCTTCTGAATTTTGAAACAATCAGTTCTACCAGCATCATAGCCTTGAACAGAGTACCTAGGAGATCCAAGGTGGAAGAGCTACACTCCTCTCAGGAGTAAAGATGGCCTAAGCATACATGCAGCTATGCCACCAGTCATCTGTTTTAATTCTTAACTTTTTTTCTTCTCCATGGTAGCTGTTCTACAGTGAAAATGATAGTTCCAAACTTGCAAAAATATTTTGCATTTTCAAGTTTACTTTTTGTTTATGTAACCTTTTGATAGAAACAGAGTGAACAAGTAACCTTCACTTGTAGGTAAACCCTCAAAGGCCTCTGAAGCTGTTCTCTTGGAGGTGGATGGTGTAGCACTGCTAGCACCTACATGAATAACAGAATCACGCAAGTAAGAGACCATTTGAAGAGACAATTGCCATTTAAAATTAGAACTACTCAGCCACAGCCAAAGGTTTGCTCTCTCCTTCACCTTGACTGCTTTCAAAACCAGCCATGATTGATCCCTTTATTCACAGAACAATTTACACAGTTAAGGAAGTGGATAGTTAAAGCCCCAACTGCCAGTTCTGTAGCATGCTGCAACTAGGGTTGTTGATTCCTCCCCTGGATGGGATGATCTCCACCTGCATGTAGGTGAGGTAGTGCTTTCAATAACAACTGCCTCTCACAAGAGCTCTGGCAGGTGTTCTGTTGTCAATCACTAGCTATTAATAATAAATTATTATTCATAAAGCCAGCACAAAAATTGAGAAACAGCACATTTACTGGACTACTCTAGGTAGGTGGTTTCTTTCTCTGAAAATTTAGACAAATGCTGTTATTCCTATCAAATATCTACTTCTTGGCTATTTACCTAGCTGTTAACATGTATGTTGTTGGTCAAAACCAAATTCCTTTGTCTAAGGAAATTGAGAATCAAACTAGGTTAAATCATTTTAACCTGAATTTCATTTTGACCTACCACATATACAAATCAAACATGGTGGACAAACCATTGGGAAAGCATGGGCATCAGACAGGCCTTGTTTAGTTTCTCAATATGGGGGAAGGGGTTTGGGGGGTGTGAGATGTTCCCTGCATTTCATAAAACTCTCCAATGAAATTAAAGAAGCTACACATTTAAAATCTCAGCTTTGATTGCGCAGTATAAACTGATATAGCTAACAGCTTCTTTTACCTGGGGTGTTCTGTTTGTCAGTGTCCATGAATGGTCTTGCTATACATGTACCATACAGCTATAGCTAACCAAATCTCTAAAAAAGGACTGAACAACAACAACTTTATTAATTCCATGCTTAAATATTACATTTTATTGAGTTTAGTAAGTTTATTATGCACCAACCATAGATTTACTTTAGACGTTTCGAGATTTACTTCCCCTTCAAGTTTATTAAGATTGCTATTGGCATAGCTTATGCTGGTGTCATCAGCAAAAAGATAGACCTGGAATTTTGAGGATGCTTTGTACAAATCATTAATATACAGAATAAAAAGAAGAGAGCCTAGCACCAACCCCTGTGGGACTTAACACATTGTTTGCTCTAGATCAGAAATATTACAGTTGGCATAAGTGTATTTTTTACAGCCTGTTACTCAGCCACTCGTTCACAATACCACTGATGCTGTGATTTTGATGTTTGGTCAGAAGTATATTGTAGTTAACAGTACCATATGCCTTCCTCAGGTCAATGAATATGCCACATGTGAACTTTCCATTTTCCATATTAGTATGAATATTGTTTAACCCTTTAACTCACATGAGTGACCAAGACAGAATTTCCTCTTACAATATCTGTACAATATTAACAAGATAAGTGATAAGAATAAAGAAAAAGATCAATTGGGGGATAATTAGTTGATCCAACACTGAATTCTCTGAACTAACATTATAAGAATTTTATGGTTGACAGTGAATAGAATAACAAACTTGATCTAGGAGTTAAAGGGTTAAGATATCCAACACTGCTTGTGGGCACAAGTATTTTGTAACATAACACAAATATCATCATGCATGAGAAAAATTATTAAGAATCAATTAACTAATGCTAGTAACAATCCTTAACTGAACTAAGTTATAATAACTAATAGGTGCCTGCTTTCCATGAATGCCTAGCATTATGACTCCAATTGTTATCCATACTTTAAAAAGGGATTAGCTGCAACTGGATTTAAAGGAGGAGAGAGCTCACGCTTGCCACACCTCAACAGGTAGCCTATTTTACAGCACCAAACCTCTATAACTGAAACTGTTTTTTGACAAAATTGGTACAGGGCACTGGAGTAGCTAGTTTTCCCTAAGAATTCCTAAGAAAATGATTGCACCAAAATTGATGTACCAAAGTAGCCACAATGAAGACTAAGAGTGCAACCATTGCTTTTTCTCTTCTCCTCCTTCCATTCTCCTTGCTTTCTCTATTTTTCCTTTTCATTTCCTGTTGTGGTGTGATTTTCAGTCTTGTCAGACCCAAAAACATCGCATTCTGACCTTATTCTGGTCAAATGGCTGCAATTTTCAGTAGGCAGGTTTTCGCAAATCCAGTTAATTATATATGGCCTATTAAATCTTGAAAAGCACTCTAACACTAATCCATTCGGGATATCCAGTCTCCATTCATGAGTATAAGACCTTTCCTCGTTTTTTTTCAACTTTTGATCTCCATCGCGTACAGGCCATCTGATATTATGCAATGGTGCAAAAAATACCCCATTAGTACCTCGGTTTGGTATATAATTATGTGTCATATTAAATTTTTATCCTAATTCACTCATAATTGCTTATTTTTTGTTCCTATATAAAAAAATTGTCATTTGAACAGCACAAAAGTGGTTTTCTTTCTCAGAATCCTAGTTAAATAAGTGTAAGAAAGTGTGACAAAACCTGACAAGCAATTTAAGAGAACATTTGATTATGTAATTATAACTGGAAATATGACCTTTGTGTAATCCATTGTTGTTAAAGTAAGAGTGAAAACATTCTTGAGTATTCAACCATATCTATGAAATTATGGTTGTGTCGTGATGAAGTTGTTTATCCCAATGGAAACTCCTATTATCCTCTGTACTATATATCTCGAATTAGTTAGCTACCATTACGTATATAAGAACATTGATTCAAGCAATAAAGTAGATTCAGTTGATTGTACTGTAGTTGCATGTGCCTCTCTTTGTGAGTGTGCCCTGATAAGCCAAAGGTTAACCCAAGCTTCACAACAGTTCGACTCTAACCAACCCCTTTGCCATGGTTATACTACATAAGCTTAAAATAGTTGAGGGAAAAAATCGTATAATTTGCATAATTTACCGCATAATAGGCCTTTCTTATCGCACAATCTACCCTGAAAATATCGCTCAATTTCTGATTTTTTATTGCACCCTATCAGATGGCCCGCAGGTAGCGAAAATCCATCGACACGGCTAGAAAGAGCACCTAAAAATGAATAATATAGCCAAGTTTGAGAGCCGCATCATACAAAATAGCAAAAATACGGTTCTACAAAATCAGAAAATCTTACAGACGTTTGTATGCTGGGGGTCAAGTTTGTGCCCCCTGCGCTACAAACGTCCGAAAAATTTCCCAACTTTGCGAAGCTACAACTTTGCGATTTCAAAAGATTCGAATCCCTATCTTGCGAGTTTGACTAATTTTTAGGTGCTCTTTCTCGCAAAGTCGACGAATTTTGGTTACATGGTCCATATCAAAAGTTGAAAAAACCGCGCGTGGAAAGGTCTATTTACATAAAAGGCGGGAAAAGGTCGAACGCGGATCTGTAAACATTTTTCACATAAAACCCTCGAGCAAATATCTTTGTAAATCACTAGCTGAACGAAGTACATCCAGAAGTGACTTAACATTGAGAAGTAAATGGCCTTAAAGGCAATTAGAATGTTCTGTATTATATTTAAATGTAATCGACATGATATCGCGTATAAAAGTAAGCTTTTAATGTAATCTACGATCGCGTTCCAACCAAACTGTGCAACTTGTATCATTTACTGAAGAAGCTTCTGATATAGGAGCGAAAGCTTTAATTATTGTTTTCAGTATTATCCCTAAGGAGGCGAATTTAAACAAAATTACTAACCTGAACAAAAGCTACTAGATTAATTAAGCTTATGACTAAAACACATTTTTTAAAAAATATTACCCGTAGAATAAAGAAAATCGACAAGAATTAGCCTCTAATTTGTTCATTGACTCAGCATACCTGTTCGTGTTACATCGCAGAAACTTAGAGATGAAGTTCAACGCCTGAACACTGCAGCAGATGCCAAATTTGTGGCGATCGATCACCGCAAACACCACTGCATGCGATCGAAGGGGCAACTGATACCATAATTAGTACAACACACAGTCACATTCCCTACAGCTTCTCCGCTGTTTTTATGTATAGCAGGCTCGCGAGAT